TTTTTTTTTTTTTTTTTTTTTTTTTTTTTTTCATTTTAATTTTTTTGGTACTGGGATGAAACTCAGGACCTTGTGCTTACGAGGCAGGTGGTGAAATCACTGAGCTAAATCCCCGGCCCGACTTTTTCATTTCTAGTTAATGTTTAAAATACACATTTTAATATTGCTATTTAATTGCATATAATTCATTTGTATAATTCTGTGACACAAGCTTATTCGTATGTTCTGAATCACAAAAAAATACATTATTTGGAAGGGTGATTTACCAAATTAAATGTCAACAGTGAAACCAAAGTATTCTACCAAAACAATAAAATTTAAGAGTTAGTTTCTCAGGTGGTTTTCCTGTCAACTCATAGGAGCAGAAACCTTCAAAAGTAATGTAGTGTGAAAAAAACGCTTCAGATGAACAGCAGTGAAGCACAAACAGGGAGACTGACAGAGCAGGAGAAAATGGAAGACTTATGTCTGCAAGCTCAAAGCGCGTGTAACAAGAATGAAGCTAGGAGACTGAGAGGGCTCTGAGCACAAGGCCAAAAACATGGTACTAAAGGCTTCACTGGATGCTTGGAGCAATGACAAAACTCATGTTCGCTGGGTGTAGTAGCACACACTTGTCCCAGCACTTGAGAGGCTGAGGCAGGAGGAACACTGCTAGTTCAAGGCTAGCCTGGGCTACCTAGTGAGCCCAAGCCCAGCCTGAACTATATAGTGAGACGCTGTCTCAAAAAAGCAAAGGAGGAAAACAGTTGACACATCATGATTTTTAAATGGTAAAATATAAAACAATTTCTATTTTGAGTGTATATATGTCTCTTAGACATAGGATCTTTTTCATCAGTAAAAGTTTCACTAAAAAATTTAAGTTTTGAGCTGGGCGTGGTGGTGCACGCCTGTAATCCCAGCACTCGGGAGGCTGAGGCAGGAGGATTGCTGTGAGTTCGAGACCAGCCTGAGCTACATAGTGAGTTCCAGGTCAGTCTCACTACATAGTGAGACCCTGTCTCAAAAAACAAAAAAAATTTAAGTTTTGAATAGGTTCATACATTTATATGGTTCCAAATGCAGAAGTTTAAAAAGTATGTGGCAGAAAAAATTTCCTCCTATCCTGCTTTGTAGTTACCAATTCTTTCTGTTGTATTGTCAACAAATATGGGTACTCCCAACTTTTGTGACTGTCAAATACAAAATATACAGAACAAATATGTATGTGTATATTCTTTTTCCTTCTTTGGAGACAGAGGGTAGCACCGTGTACACCTTCCTTGGCTTTTTTCATTTACAGTGCATATTGGAGATTATTCCATATCACTGCACAAAGAACTTCATCTTCACAACTGCATCATACTTTAGAAATTACTCTTTTCTGTCTGTGTGGTACCAAGGATCAAATGCAGAGCCTTTACACGGAGATACATCCCCAACCCTTTATACTTTTTTTAATTTTAGACAGGGTCTCACTAAGTTGCCCAGGCTGGATTAAAATTTGCAGTCCTCCTGCCTCAGACTCCCAAAGTGCTGGGATGACAAGTGGGTGCCACCGTGGTTTAAAAGCAGCTTTTTAAAAATATGCTCTCATAGATATTTAAATATAAATCTGTTAGCAATCTATTTTTCCAAGGCCAAAAATATATTAAAGATGAAGTTATTTTTTCTTTTGATTTCTTTTTTTTTGGCAGAATCAGGGATAGAACTCAGGACCTGCTTGCCAGGCAGGTCTGATGCCACTATGCTACATCCCCGTGCTGTTTTCTCTTAAGTAATTTCTGTTTCTTCAAAGGTAGATGAATTTGTTCTCAGTTTCTGGTATTCTAGGACTTAGATGGTGTTAGAACCAAGTAGCTTTTCCCAGTTGTTCCTCTTCTGGAGTAAAAGCCATTCATACTGGCTGGAAGAGCAAGGGTTTTGAGTCCAACCTGAGGTAGCCATGACGAGGTGTCTAACGTTAGAAATTACTGTGTTTCTCTTTCAGGAAGGAAGCCTAAATATTTTATAAACCTTTATTCAAATCTGAAACAGTATAACATGCCTTAAAATCCCAGATATGCCACTCATCAGTTATGGAACGTTTGCAGGTCACTTAACTGTACAAACATTTTGTGAGTCTTTGGTTATTAACAGCATTGTGGTGCATGCCTGTAATCCCAGCACTCTGGGAGGCTGAGGCAGAATCGCAAGTCTGAGCCTACCCTCAGCAATTCAGTGACTTAGGGAGGCCCTATCTCAACATTTAAAATTTTTAAAAGGGTTAGGGATATAGCTCAGTGCAAAGGACCTAGATTCAGTCACGGATACTGCCAAGAAAAATTTAAAAAGTCCCTAAATCATTGGATTGCTGGGAGGAATAAATGGGATAGACTAGTTGAATGTGATGGCATACATCTGTAATCCCAGCATTCTGGGGGGCTGAGACATGATGATGTCTACACAATTTAGCAACTTAGCAAGACCCTGTCTAAAAATAAAATATGAAAATAAAAAGTGCTAGGCACACACCTCAGTGCCTGGGTTCAATCGTGGTACTGTAAAAAAAAAAAAAAAAGTCGGGAAGGATAACCTATCATAAATATATATAAAATTTCCCCCTTTTTTCTCATAGTAGGGATTGAACCCAGAGCCTTTGAGAGACGTCCCAAACCCCTGTTTATGAGAAGCATAGGTTAATTATTCATAAAAGCCCTGAGTATACTGTATTTTCCGGGCAGAAAACCCATCATTCTATCACTCATTGTAGTCTGACCTGAATGAGTCATTCCTATCTGTTTACTTTGTTCTTTGTAATTAAGGGTTTATCTGTTCAAAGATCAAAGAGAGGCATTATTGCTAGTAACCCTTTAAGATTCTTCCTATAAGCCCATTAAGGTGGAGACTGTGTATGTTTTATTCTCCACTGATAAGCCTACAGCCTAGAGGTGACTGATGTATATTTCATTAATTCCCCATTAAATAGCATTTTTGCCTATTAACCTGATTGAGATTATAGAGACAGGAAGTCAGCAACACAGCTAAGTTAGAGACTGCTTAATTCTGTCCCTAAGTGGTATTTGCAGACTTCTAGCTAAAACTCCCTACGAAGGCGTATTTCTTTCTTGGTGATGTTGTTAAGAATAAGAGAAAGTAGGAGTGAACTGGAGATGAATTCTAACCATCAGTACTGTAGTCAGCATAAGCCATGTTCTTTGCCAAGTGATGCATTAGGAAGTAAAAACATATCTTTACCCAGGAAAGACTTAAATTTGTTAGGCTTAGAATTTATTTTTTTCATGAGTGGTATTTATATTGTAGTTTATTGACTCTGTCTTTTTATATATTCTTTTCAAATTCAGAAGTTTCTTAAGTAACTGTGTCCAAGATATTTTCATTCTTATTTTGTCTGTACCATAGTAAATTGCATAGCGTCCCCTCCGTAAACATGTTTCATCATTTTCCCATTGAGCCTCACAGCTACTTCCAAGTTTTTCTTTTCATAACTTGGAAGCACAGGACAAAAATATCCATGGGGTAATGTTTATTTTGTCTCTTGTTAATTAGCATGCTAGGAACTTATTCGGATGAGTTTGGGAACTTAGATTTTGAGCGATCCCAGCATGGTTCTGGAATGAGTAACAGGTCAACAGCAAAGAGATTCATTTCTGCTCTCAACAATATTGCTGAAAGAACTTACAATAATTTGTTTCAATTTCATCAACTTCGGCAGATTGCCAAAGAGCTAAACATTCAGGTATGATAACTTAAATATTAATCTTTTCTGTTAATAATTTCAAGAATCTTTATAAGTGTATACTAGAACAAAAACAATTTTCTATTTACTTAGGATTCATACCTATTTCTTCTCAAAGACTTCCACGTCTTAATAGCTAGAAGGAAGTACTGTAGCAAGACTCAGTCTCCATATTTTCCTAACAGTGCCCGGGCACAAGTCATATTAACATTTCCTTGTCTGAATGGACATGATTCCACTTGCTCTTCCTACTTCAGGGTTCTAGTGAAAACAGATACAGTAGCACTCTAAACATATAAAATAGTCTACATGGAAAATCTCTCAATTTCAAAACCCTAGTGTAATTTTTTATTTTAAGCTAAGCTACAACAAAATACAAGGTTCTCTGCATACTGGCATTTTTATTTGGGCATTGTTAAATCCAAAGCTCAAATTCAGGCAATTTACTCTAAGAAATACAAATAGTTATACTTGCCTAAGAAAGTTGACAAGTGTGTATTACTGTTTTGAGTAATGTTAAAAGTCGTACTTTGGCATGTTAGTTACTGGGATAATTCTTTTGATGTTTTCTTGTAGGTTGCTGATTTTGAAAATTTCATTGGTTCACTAAATGACCAGGGATACCTCTTAAAAAAAGGCCCAAAAGTTTACCAGCTTCAAACTATGTAAAAAGACTTTATCAATTCAGGACCTTCTGGGTTTATTGCCATCTTTTTTTTTTTTAATTGAGTTTATGGTACATTTTAGGTATACAGTACAGTACATTTACATTCACTATTGGGATCTTGTACCTTTACATGACAGGTCTTGGTTCTCATTTTTTCCCCTTGTCCCTGCCCTCCCTTCACCCTTCCTTCCCTCCCCATTTACAAACACTTTATTTCCATTTTTTCATTTTCTCATATTTTTTTCTCTTCCCTTATTACCTTTCCCCTATCCTTCCCACTTTCCCTACACCTTTAGCCCTTTTCTATTTCACATAGTTTATTGCCATCTTAAGCTGTTAGTTTATAGTTTATTGCCATCTTAAGCTGTCTCAATAGTGAACACTATGCCAAAAAAAAAAAAAGTTCTTTGAAAAATGTTATTCCAAAAGTACTGAAATAAGAAAAAAGTGTTAGATTTGTTCAACTAATTTAAAAATTAAAATGTCATATGTTGTTAAAACTTCTCCCAAAGGCTAAAAATAACATTATTTTTTCTAAGTGATAAATTATTTAGTTACATTTTTGACCTGTCTTATTTGTATAAATATTTCATAATTATGCATAGCAAATATTTCATCAGGGTAAGTGTTCAGATAATATGTAAATAAATGAGTATGCCTATGTGCCAATAAAACTTTTTCAACACGGATGTTTCAGTTTTGTAATCCTCACAAGAATATAAAACATTTTCACTTTTTAGACCATACACTGTAATCATTATAGGCAGTGTGTGATTTGCCCCTAGTCTATAGTTTGCAAACAACAGAAACTGATAAAGCAGGAAAAGAAGATTGTGGGGGGGAGTTCTGGTAGTTTACAGGATTGTAAGAAGGCTGGTGGTCAAGTCGCCAGGAGCACTTAGGGGCTGCAAAGGAAGCTTCTAACACCCTCCTGCCCCTCAGAGCCCTAGAGGAAAGTGCTCTCGCCTGGGGGCCAGCGATGTCGCTTCTGTACAGAAACCACTGCTACCAGCGGAAGTCCAAAGAATGCCCCTCCCACACAAGGATGACAACACGAGGATTCTGTTGGGCCTCTGTGAAGTGCTGAATTCAAGCGAGGTCTCATTCAGAAACATTTGAAGGTTATATGCCGCTTTGCTGTGGTGCTAGTTTTCCCAGTTCTACTTTAGGAAGTTAGGACCAATAAAGCCAGAATTCCCCATGTTTTGTGAGGATTCACATGGAACCGGGCTCGCAGCCAAACCTAGATGAAGCCAACACGAGTCCCGCGGGTGCAGGGGCTCAGCTCGGCTGTCAGGGGCCGCGAGCCACTGTCCCCAGCCAGGAGTCTCAGGGTGTGAAAGCCTCGGCTGGGCCTCAGATGGAGGCCTACTCCTCGGCCGGTCCCCTACTGGGACTGGAAGGCTCTAGAGTCCCCAGGTACCCGCCCCTTGGGGAAAACTGATGCCGAAAGAGCCTGAAAAGGTGCAGAAAGGTGAGTGATGGGGTGCTGGGCAGCGCCCGTGACAGAGAAATCAGCTTTGAGGTGAGGAGGCAGACCCCGCCCCAATGTAAAACTGAAAGCTTGGTTCCAGGGAGGTGGGAAGTTGATCCCAAGGACCACTTCTCGCGGACTGCCTGGAGCACAGCTCTGGCTCCGGGCTGGGAAGGAGGATCACTCAGGTGCTCGCTGCACCCTGAAAGCCTCTGAGAGACTCCAGGACCCAGCTGCACTCCAGCCGCCCACCAGCACCTTCCCCAGGGTCCCACCTAGGACGCCAGCTACTGAGAACGTGCCTTCTTCTGCTGTAGAAAAGATGCCTCCCGCCTAAAACACACATCCCAGTGCTCTGTTGCAGAAAATAACTCTGCCTGACTAGTAACCAGGTCTCAGCTTGGCCCAGGGACTAACAGTGATAATGAGATTCCAGGTGCACCAAATGGGAGACTCACAGTGGCCAAGGTTAGAGCGAGGGATAAGAGAAAGATTATAAGCATATAAATATTTACTGAGTTATGTGACAGCCAAAATAATGTAAAGAAAAATAATAGGGAAAAATGACTTTTGGGGGCCAGGGATTTAGCTCAGTGGCACCCTGCCTGCCTCACATGTACAAGGTCCTGAGTTCTATCACTGATACCCAAAAAATAAATACATAAACTAATTGCCTGAGGGAAGGGAGGAGGACAAAGTATATGTTATATACGTATATAAATATGCTAAAGAAAAGCCACTATTCTGTATAACTAATAAGCACTACTACATTTTTAAAACAAGAAAGGAAAAACAGTCACCGGGCATGGTGGCACATGCCTGCCATCTCAGCATTTGGGAGGCTGAGGCAAGAGATTGCCAAGAGTTCAGCCCATCCTGGGCTACTCAGCGAGTTAGAAGTCAGCCTGAACTTCGTAATAAGACCCTGTTGGAAAAAAAAAAAGAGAGGGCTGGGGATTTGGCTCAGTTCTTCCGTCCCCTGCCTCACAAGCGTAAAGGCCCGAGTTCGATCCCCAGTACCAAATAGAAAAGAGGGAGAGAAAGAACTAGTTGCTAAATCTATTTATTCGCTGTACCAAAGCTGGCAAACTTACATACCTACAAGGACCAGGTAAGTAAAGAAAAGCGAGCAAGGCGACAACTTTGTTCCAAAACAGTGCCTGTTTTAAAAGGGGAGCTATAGAAATGCAGACTTAACCACATCTTCAAATTTTTCAAGAAAATGTGGAAATGTAGATTTCATATGAAATACCTTGATTTTAAAATGTTGGCTACTAAGTTTATGAAAAACACTTTAAGTTGATGAAGATATCTGTGGTACTCGCTGGGCCTGGTGGCATTATGCCTATAATTTCAGCACTCGAGAGGCTGAGGCAGGAGGATCACTGTGAGTTTGAGGCCAGCCTGAATTGCATAATGAGAAAAACAAAAAACAAAACACTGCAGTACTGATGTAGTTCAGAGTCTGCAAATCTCTCTCTCTCTCTCTCTCTCTCTCTTACACACACACACACACACACACACACACACAAACACACAATCACTATGTATAATTCAGTGCTACGTATAGTATGAAACACCAAGATATTAGAAATGAGGACAGACTTCAAAGTTTACAAACTAATAAACAGGAAACCTATTTACCAGAAACAAAATCAAGAAACCCACCAATAGATGGCGCAGAAAAAGAACTCAGAATAATCCAGACATCTCCAGACTGCTGGTTCTCAGTAGAAACGGAATCCCAGCTTTGCTCTGTTGCCTTTCGTTAGGCTCAGTGGCCTTACTCTGCTGTTCCCAGAGACGCGCCCCTCCTCTTGTTGGGAGTGAGCTCTGTTAGCAAATCCAAGGGGACAATCAGGTCTTCCTTGTGAGGTCAGTTCCTTAGGCAGATGCCCCTGTGTATGAGACCATGTTCTGAAAGCATAGCTGGTGGGAAAGGCAGATTCAAACCAAGGATGGGCTTCTCATGTGTTTGACTCCCTGCCGTGCAAAGGACAGAAATGAATAAAAAGTGTGCGAAGGGGAAGGGGGGGGGAGACAAAAAAAAAGTGAAAATAGGAAAAAATGGAAACAGCTTTTGCATATAAGGAGCGGAGTGGAGTGGACTTGAGGGGGGAATGGGATAACATTAAATTTACAAACAATAGCCTATCATAGGAAGCATAGGGAATTGAAAAATATCCTGGCTACCCAGTATTTCTTTTTTATTCTTATTTCTTTTAGAGTTGCTTTTTTGTTTACTTTTTTTTAACAACAAGGACCTTGTCTTATATGTGCATGGTAGGACCTCAGTGTTGACTGAAGAAATAAAAACTAGGTGGCTACAAAAACCTCATGCATAGGAACCATTGTTGGGAAATGTATAATTTTTAAAAAATGCAACCAAGTACACTGAATATTTAATCAAGATAAAAGTATTAGTCTTTTATTGAGTATATACTCAATAGTAAGGCCAAAACTAAAATAAATGTAGGCTTACTGCTGCAATTAATACATTAAAACCCAATTTTTAAAGAAGATGACAATATAAATGTATTAATTCTTTAAATTCCAGGATGGGATTAAAAGTATTTAAAGCAAGGTCTGGGGATTTTGCTCAGCGGCACCATGCCTGCCTCACAAGTACAAGGTCCTGAGTTTGATCCCCAATATCAGAAAAAAAAATAGAATTTTTAAAGTATTTAAAGCTGATGAATTTATTAATAAAATCATATTTTGTGAGGCAGTATATAGATAATATCAACCAAATAACAGTAGTAGCCATGAAGGAAAAGAAATAGTCAAATTTGCCATTGATCAAAGAGGAAATAAGGAACTTTAAGCCTACTACATAATGTTAAGGGGAGGGAGCCTAATCAGAAGAAATTGATGTATACTTTCTGGGATTATGTATTTAACTACTTTACAGCTGCTAATCACAGGACCAAACAGCCAACGTTTCTCTGAAACATCTCGTATGGGTACACAAGAGACATTACAACACATCCGGCCACAGACCCCAACATTTATGTTTCACTTCCTGCTCACAAAAGGGCTTCCTCGTCGCTTCTGGGGCTTTGGCTAAGATCAAGCGTAGAAAGGGCCTTCTCATGGCCCGCTTGCTACCACTTACAGGAATAAAGGCTCTGGCCTAGGTTCCCTCTCATTCTCTCTGCGCACGTCCCCTTGCCAGGATTATTCAAAATCATCGTCTGAATGAGGATTGTAGATGTCTGTTTCCAATGACCGCTGAAAAGCAAAATTATTCTTTTTACATTGCTCGTAAAATATTTTTGTTTTTCCAATATTTTTATTTCAGTACGTGCCTAAGAAATTCAAGACAGCCTTGATAAAATGCTCACATCTACAATTATATCCAGCTTCAACCTTAAGGTGGTGTGTTATAGACTGCCCTGGAGGGGGTCAGTGGAGAGGAGGCAAGGAACCATGCCTATGTAGTTTAACCCAGGCTAAGTGGTGGAGCGCTTGCTACTTCTAACAGGTGCAAGACGTGCAATACCCAGCACTACCAAAAACATTTTTTTTTCAGTTTGAAACAGTTGTAATGTTAGTTTATCAATAATGTAATGCATTAATACTGAATATACAATAATGATGAACTAATTTGAGTCTTAACCTCTCTAAGGCCGTTTTCTACCTAAGAACCTAAAGGGTGATACTGGAGCCTAATTTGTGAGAGAATTAAATAGGATGATGTGCTATAGCTTATAAAGTGCGCACTCTTTCCAGGTGAACAGTGCCACTACTGACATTTTCTGTTCTTTTTTTTGTGGGGGGAGGTTGAGACAGGGTCTCACTATGTAGTTGAGATTGACCTGGAACTCACTTCGAGGCTGGTCTCGAACTCACAGCGATCCTCCTGCCACAGCCTCGAGTGCTGGGATTACAGGTGTGCGCCACCACGCCCGGCTGACATTTTCTGTTATTTTTAGCATGCATCTTCATTTAAATGCTGAAAAAGAACTAAAGGAGCAGAGCACTCGTCCTTTTCACTTCTATACCAAACGTGAGTGACATTTTAAACCTGGCACACGGACCCAGCGCACACCCAGTTGGAGGCGGGGTGCTGGTGGCTGGCCTCGGATTCAGGCCGGGGCCTGGCTGACTCCCGCTCCTTCCGACCACGTCAGCACGCAGCCATCAGGCGGCGCTCGACCCTCTGTCCCTTCCCACCCTCCTGACCGGG